TTTTATTTATGTTTGGATAATTTATATTTAAAAAATTTTAATTAATTATACTTGAATTTTTAAATTTTTATTTATTATAATTTTATAATTGAATATTAATTAATTATATGTAAAAAATTTATAAGCAAAATTTGCCCCCCATTAAAAATCTCAACAAAGATCAATGGCGGGGATTGGGACAAAAACGGGGAGGTACTCCCCGGCCCCGCAAGACCCTGTTGACATCCCTATCTGCAACTCAAACTCCGACCTTAGAAAACTGGCAGAAACTCGATCGAATCTTGGATGTGACCTTGACCAATGAGGTGAGTCGAAAGGCATTGATTCAACAAGGATCCTCGCTAATGAGAGCGGCCGCCACTGTATTTACTGAAGCACCGTCAGCTAAAAGCCATGAGAGATGTGTCGATAGGTTCTGAGGCTGTTCGTTTCCACCACGCGCCGGTGTTTGGACTTATTTGGGGAATGGACAGCGGAACGAGCCAAAGAGCGTACATGTTTGTGACGATGAGAGGTGTGATTTTTCCGGCGACGAGGTTGAATTTGGTAGGACCTCCGGCTGCAGCTGTGTTGCAGCATCAGATTGCACCAGTTACCGAAGCCATAACGGAAAAATGGATGGAGCGTCCACGTCGTCTGGTGGAGGAAGCTTGCCAAACTTCTCCTTTGCTTGATACTCTGCAAGGCTGCCATGGCTACTTGTTCTCTAGGTTGTTCTTCCGGAAAAATGGATGGACCGTCCTTTGTTATTTCTTTTGGAATATTGGGCAAATGACTTAACCAGTCTAATGATTTTTTATTTTTTATTTTTGAATTGGATCAATAATTGGAATGGAGAAAGAAAGAGAAAGGAAAGGTCTGGTTTCGGTTGTTTATTGAAACCCAATACAGGCGTGTTTGGGTGAATTCACACTCTTGCAACAAAAGATTGTGTCCCTTTTTCTCTCTTCATTTAATGTTCCAGGAATCAGCAAATTTGTACTGGGATTTCACACTCCTGGATTTTCATTTCAGATCAAGGAAAAAGAAGTGAATTTAGTGAGGAAAAGCTTCTTGGCTTCAGTTAATTAGCCATCAAAAGGGTTGTTTTTTTGACTCTTTAGGATGGAAAGCACGTGGAAGACTTTAGGTGGGTTCCATTGCAGGAAGATCAATAATCCTTCATTTTGAATCAGTCATTCACCTATTTTATATGCCAAGACAAGATGCGCCATCTTGTTCATCTTTCAGTTCGAATTATATCGATCCTACATATTCGGTGTATTTATTTTTATACATATGATAATGAATTATATATAAAATGAGAGATATTCCTTCCAAAAAACAATCTTCTCTTTCAAAATCCTTTTCACCTGTTATAAGGTTTGAACTTTATAAAATTTCAGCAAAATTAACTAATTCAGCTCATATTATTTTTCATACTATTATTTAAAAAAAAAAATCATTACTTTTTAAAGGAAATAAATAAATGTAAAAAACCAAATTTAAAAAGGCGTTAAGGTTAGCTGGCTTCCGTGTCACCATTAGGGGGACATTATCTTCAATATGTGAGACTACTCACTCGAACCTATGGCCCAATTAGTATTGTTGGTGCTCTCAGAGT